CGCGAGTCAATCCTTCTCGGGTCCTGAACAACCTACGAAGTATGACGGAAGCCAATAGCTTGGACGCAATCGGAAGTAGACTTATCCCCCGATAGTTGTTACAGGAACAACGTGAACCCTTTTTAAAGATAGGGACAACTATCGACTCATTCCATGACGTTGGTACACTCTCTAGTTCCCAGATCTTTGTAAACAACGTCGTCAGTCCCTTAGTCAAAAAGTCACCACCATCTTTAAAAAGAGCCGGAGGTAGGTCGTCTGGGCCCGGTGATTTGTAACGTTTCAAGAGTTGGAGTTCCTTGCGGACTTCCGCCTCATTTGGTGGATCAGTCGTCACCGGCCATGGAGGGCAGGACAGTCTGACCGATGTTGCCGGAGCAGCAGGCCAGTTGAACTGCCCTTCAAAGAATTCTGCCCATCGTCCAAGAAGTCGATGGCGTTCCGTCATCCTCGCAGATTGTTTCGCTCACACCAAACTTCTTGCTGCCAGTGACTCGGATGAGTTGGAAGAGCTTCCGGTAATTACCAGATGCAGCTGCTGCTTCCAACTCACTGGCACGCTCCGACCACCAGGCTTCTCGGTCCTTACGCAAGCTTTGCCCGATTTCATTACGTAACATCCTTCGTCTGTGGTCAAACTCACGGTCACCCGGAGAAGACCGACGGGCTTCAATCAGATGTAAGGAACCAGAAGAAACCCAGTGCTTGTAAGCGGGACGTTTCGCAAACCCACAACTGACTTTACCCACCATTTTCATGGCGTCATGCAATTGCAACCAATGCTCATCTATACTTTTCGGTGGAATGGTAGCTAGCCTAGAAGCTAGCTCGGTTCGGTACTTACTAGCAACAGAAGTTGCAGCCAGCTTGCTAACATCAATCCTTTGGTGGCGGTCACTTCGTTGTCCACTGAAAAGTAAGGTAAGATTGGCGCAGACCAGAGCATGATCAGATTCCAGATAGGTACTCCAAAAGGAGCGGCAGTCTTGTACACAACCGCGCCAGCGGTAGCTGATCGCGATGTGATCAATCTGAGTCCAGGCTTGAGATGCAGAAGGAGGACGCCAGGTGGCACATCGGCGATGACTGTGCCGAAAGTTAGTGCTAGCCAGAAACAGGTTGTGGTCTGTGCATAGTTGCAGTAGACGTTCCCCGTTATCTGTCCTGTGACCAACGAGTCCCCATCGGCCACCTAAACGACTCTCTTCTGTGCCTAGACGCCCGACCTGAGCATTCAAGTCTCCAGCTAGTACTACAATATCTGTCGAACGCACTTTCTGGAGAAGAACAGTTAGCTGATGGTAGAACTCGTCCTTGATTGCATCCGGGCTGCAATCTGTCGGGGCATAGGCGGAGATGACGAAAAGACATCGTTTCTCACGCCGATTTCTTCTCACTTTGATGGAACTTTCTAATCTAACAGCACATAACCGACTGTTAATGGGGATCCAGTCGATTAGTGCTGCCTCAGCTCTTGCGCTTAGTGCGACACCAACGCCAGCAAGACCAGACGAAGATGCCACGGGGTCCCCGGATAAACGCACATAAAACAAGCTTTTTGAAGTGACAGATGGAGAGCGAACTTGTAGTACTTCACCAGAGTCTTGAATACGGGTCTCGGATAGACAACACACATCAATATTAAGACTTTCCAAAGACATAGCCAGCCCTATCTGTTGTCCGACCTGCATAAGTGTGCGAACGTTGAAGGTAGCCAGTTTGAATGGTGCACGCGGTTTCAGAAAAACTGCTTCAGTACTCATGTTCGGTAGTAACATACAATTTTCAACCAGGCAGTGACTCGGGAACGTTTAGATAAAGCTGAATTTTCACCATAGGTGAGCTGCTGTCTAGGTCGAAACGCATATATAAAGTAGGAATAAGAGAGGGTGAATAAATGACGTGGTAGAGTAATAATAATAATAATAACAGTAATAATAATAATAGTACGAGTTATTTCAATGTTAATCAGATAGAAAGGAATATTTTCCATAAGCAAATTGTTCATCATAGTTTTAGTGAGTGGGCTGGGATACTGCCCGGGTGCCCAGACCGAAGCAGGTGGTTTTCCTAGGGGGCCACACCGCGAGCCTTTGACCTAAAGGTCTAGTCCACAAGGCAGTGGAGCATCGTGAGGAGATGCAGTCCCATGGAAGCCGGTGACCAAAAGTTGGTTCATACGCCATTTGTTCCCGCAGGATACTGGAGCCCATGTGCACCATAGAATTGGGATCCGGTTATAGCGCCGGACATTCGCTTTTCGTCCTCTCATTTTCGTAAACAACACCCCCGCCACGAGAAGGCAGTGAGTAGGACTTCCCTGGCAGAGGCTGTATACGCGTGGCCGTGTGAGAGTATTTCGAGAGGGAGGGCGAACCCTCCCCGCTCTCGGCCATACCAGGGCATTTGGGGGCAAATGTGTTATCTATAATTGAATGACTTGTACTTCACTGAACTTGCTTACGAGTTAACTGAAATACTGTTTATCGCACTTACCAACCAATTTTATTTCAGAAGTAAACAATAGCGGTTGGGCTGTTAGAGAAGCTGATGCATGTTTGCGTCGTTTTCATCTAAGCGTTTATTATTGATAAAACATCGGTTCTGTAATATGACGAAGTAGTCTAGTCAATCTACCCATTTGATCTTAGTGTAAGCTTTTTCTCTGAATGGATTTTTAAATTACCCTAGCAATTTAGATGTTCGTGCAAAGTATCTGAGAGATATACTTCCGAATATGCGTCCTAACATTTGGTCTGAAACTTTATTTTGCTACTTTTATTTAACCGCGCATCAAAAGATGTTGATTGCACCAAGAGAAATGAATTTCGAATATCACTAAGAATTCCACCGTTTAACTGTGTTTGTAAGAGGAGGCTACCCAAATATTGTCCGATTTGAGGTCGTGAACATGATACGATCTTTGCATTATAAAAGTGGTTGTTGTTGTTATTACGAAGAAGACCAAAGCCTGTATCTACACAAGTGTTAGTTTTAGGAATGGTGTTGTGACACGAAACCGACTTCGGAACGGCAAATGTTCAGGTTATGTTAATTTACAGCACAATTGTGAAGTCAGCGCCGTCGCCAAATTGAAGATTTTCGACAGTCATGTCCATTTATTGTTGTTTCTGAATGACTAGGTAAATAAGTGCCGACAGTGACATGGCTGATAAGATCGATCTGTGTATATTGAATGCCAGATCGGTTTGTGCCAACCTATGGCACCGGCGCTCTCATGATGTTAGTCCGGCTATAAAATGTCGGGTTTAAAACATATCGATGGTAGCAGTTTCTCTGAATGATACTGAAATCTGCCCCCTCATAGTTGGTGTTAGATAACTGTGTATGCGGTCATCGTTGTCTGTGGTGGGTTGTTGACACAGTAGCAACACCATGTCGGTGATGCGGAGGTTCGTTCGGCAGTCTTTTTAGGCACTTGGTTACATAATTCAGTTGGTGTCGCCATCTCGCGGAAAAGGCTCCGATGGCTCGGACATGTACTACAAATGCTGTCTCAGCTATTTCCATATTGTGCTTTATTTTCTGAGGCTCAGACCGATTGGAAAAGCGGATATGAAGCCCGGCTATGAAAGAAAGCTTTATAAGACTGGCATCAGCTGATCCATCAGAACTCCCTGGTTGAGATTCCGGAGGAGATACAACTCTGGCTTGAGGTGCTGTCAGACACGACAACCACTTCTGCTGATGAGGTTAATAGGATTTACCAATGTACGAGTATGCTTAAATTGGACTATTACGTTTCTTGGACTTCACTTATCAGCAGGCTTCAAAACCACAGGTTGTTGTTTAGGTGTCAACGCCAAGGTTGAACTTGATAGTTTTAAATAAATAGAGCACTGGGTAGAAAGTTAACAATAAATATGTTTTCTGTTATCTCCAAATGAGTAGGAAACTGTATTTCCGACGTTTCGTAACAATATAATCCACTTCTTCATAGTAAGTAACTAACCGGAAAAAATTAACACGACTTTAAATAATACAAAGTAAATAACCCCATGTACTGTTTAAACTTGTGTTAATTGTATTTCGGTTACTTATTTATTGTGAAGAAGTGGCTTACATTAAGTCACGAAGCGTCAGAAATACAATTCTCTGCTCATTGGGATATCACAAGAAACATACCTATCATCCATCAGTCAGTCAGTCAGCTTGAGTGCTGTTAGAGGTATGAGGGCGGTTATCACTTCCCGGTTGCCCACACCGTGGAAGGGTTCTGCTGGAGGTACCTGAAAAGGAAATTGGATTAGAGGTGGTCATAGTGACCTGAGAGCGTGACCGCAGTGCCCAAGGGACAGCTGCTTGAGGTCGGTCACACACGACCATTTTATGAGTAATTTTTGTGTTAGCTCCGTACTTGTTGAGACCTTACTGCCGGAGACGGATATCCATGGGATAAGGCGAGGTGTGCATTTTTAGGGTCGACCTTTTCTAACCCCTCCCCTCCTTTTTGGAAGGCAGCATCGCTGTTATGCTGGTTGTCTGAAGGAAACACCTTACTGCTGTCACACCTCTGTACAGTCAGCAGTACGACTTCGCCTTCGGACCTTGGTTTTGTTGCTTTTAGTCTTACCGCTCTTCAACCGACCTGTCTGGCATGGTAGGACCTTGAGGAACGGTTGCTCCAGCCAGTATAGCTCAGTTGCTTCATCACGATAGGCAAGCCCGACCACCACGTCAAGGTAGCAACAACGGTCAGGACCTATCATCCATAGGTTATTTTGTTTGAGTAACTCCTTTTGTATTTCAGAGAATATTTTTTTCAATTATTCTTGAACGTATTGATAATAAATTGAAGTACATTTCATTTTATCTGCATGCACCAATGACCTCGTCTTTTCATTGTGTGAAAAAAAACAAACTAACTATGTGTACTTTTATTTACAGAGTAAACATAAGTCTTAATTATTGATTTGTTAAGTATAAATATTATGTACTTTTTAATTACATAAAACTATTTTTATACACATTAATTGCTCTTATAATTTACATGGTAGAACACACACATACTGTCACTAATAATTTACGTTATTTAATGCATTTTAATAAGTGCAGAATATATTGAGATAAAATGAAATAATCATCATATTCATAATCAAATTGTTGTTATGATCAGTCATTCAAAAAAGTTCACATTGTATTTTATTTGAAGGAAAACAAAACAACTATACAAACCCGACAATATCATGTTGGTATATTTTTGTTAATAAATCTGAAAAAGGACATAAAGAAGTATTTAGATGAAGAAGATTGAATTTGATCTAGTATAAAATAATTATCATTATTAATGCACTTTACCAAGGATATGTTCTATATACTTTATTATAAGCTACAATTTGTGCATGTGTTCACACATACCACGGGGTAGAAATACTTACTAACTGACTACTTAAACCATAGTAGACTGAGAAAAGTCATTCAAACCCATCGCTTTTAATGATTAGAAGTTAGATTATTCAACCTTAATTCATTGATTTATTTGTAAATTCTAATCAAGGTAACGGTTTATTGTTTATATTAAATATTGTTTAAATCTATGTTGACTCAGCAATATACCAAGATTAGTAAATCAGGTATATTTCATGTGTTAAATGTGCCTTGATCTTGATAACTAGCACACGGTTTTGGACTTCAAACATTTTAATATTCCTTGGTTAAATATATATTTGAAACAATGTGCATAGGTAATTAGATCACGTAGACACTAAGTCAGAATATATCACGAAATTGGCAAGCTTAGGAGTTCTTCAAACAGTAGTGCGAGTTTCGTAATCATAAGATCAAACTAAAAAAAACAATAGGCACCAAATTAAGTAAAATTTTTCTACTTTCAGCAAATAGTCTCACAATATGAATTGGCGGTATTTTAAAAAAGACAAACAGTGGTGCTTACAATCTTGTACAAATCTCTTGAGAACATGTGTTTCACATGAAACAATGACGGAAAAACGTGACTTTGATCAATAATTAAAATCTATCAATTTGTTTCAACTGTCATAACGTCAATAATATTCATATTTTAGCTAATTATTACTATAACAACAGGATACAAACTGACTGCTGAAATCCATTTAATTTCAGGGCTTACAAACTATACAACTTTATTTCTCGATTGCTTATGGTTATTTATTTTCAGATGAATAATATTAAGTTAACTCATGGATGTTCTTAACTACTCTACTAAAGCAAAAACACTACGCATTTCCGCAATTCAAATACACATACACACCAGGAAATAACGACACTGATTAAGTGATAACAGATGGGTTATTTTTGCTTTGAGTTTTGCGCAAATTCGTATAGATATTTGCAGATTTATACCAGGGACTGGCTTTATTTAAACAACCAATGAGAACAAGGGAACTAGGAACAACTATTTTGTCCTATTATGGGACTAATCGACCGTATCTATCTTATCTACCACCCCATTCACAACCATGTCGGGTGTGAGACAGATATGACCAGTGAGAATGGCTGATGGCCATGCAATATCTCAAAATATGAATGTAAACTACGAAGTAGAAACTCAGTGGTTCGAACATTAAGCGATCGCTGCTAACCTTGACGATCACGGGTTTGTACACCTGAGGGGTCGCGGATACAAACTGCTGGAGAGTCCCTTGCTCGAACGAAATATCTTCCAATTGCTCCCTGGTTATCAATGGTTGTCCAACTAAAGTCAGTTCATGACAAAAAAATTAGAATTTTCAATATTTTCTAAAACTCTTACACAATCGTGAACATTTAATTCACTAATATTAAAGATGATATTATACGGTAGAGAAATGGAGTCTGACTGATTGCTTAGTGATCATCAGTTTCATGTCGTTCTAGTTGATTTTTAATCATAATAATAATAGTTTGAACTCCCCAATATGCATTTACATGATCGGTCAGTAATATTATTTCAAGACTTATGCGGTGTAAATTTGGTGATAAATCAATTGTCCGGTCACCTCAGTTATGATTAGCAATAGTAGCAACCAACATAGTCGTTATGACAGAAGACAGTGGCTTGAGAGTGTAGGAGTAAAACCAGGTTACATTACATTTTAATTGTCAATTCCACTTGCATCTTTTACCTCTATTTCCTTCTCATTCGGTTCGTTTTGCGTATTACATCATGTTACTCACTAATATTCAGTAGCTAATGTCATTTTCAATCAATTTTGTACATAAGCAGCGTAATATCCCTTCGTTGTTGAATTGAATTTATAGATATGTTACATAAACTTGTGACTTTCAGTCAACTTATTATTATAATTGTGACAGTTACTTTGATTTTTTGTTTAGTCAACAAAAATTTGTCACGGCACAACAGTTTTAGTATTTTATGTTCTTAGTACTCGTTTCGATTGTTGGTTGCACTATGGAATTAACAAAACTACTGGCTGTCAAGTAGATTATCGTATGTTTTGGTAAATAATCCTCATACAGCTATTCCAAGAACCTCTTCATCTCTGACTGCATATGCACGCGGTAAGCACCATAAAACCTCATGAACTGAGGCTTGTAATTATATTTCTTATATTGTCATTATTAATAGTGCCGAATTTTACAAAAAGCTACTGTTTTCGTTTCGGGATTTTGACACATCACTTAGTCGTTTGGTCGGAAACATCAAGTGAAACTAACCGTGATATTTGTGATTAAATAGACATTGAGAAAGTTACGTCACATTAACTTCACTTACTGTTCTGAAAATGATCAAATAAATATTTCAAGTTATACAACGCATGCTTTTCTGGCGTCAGATATAAATTAAATCTTGAACCCAAAGAGATGATATTACGTTTTAGTATGTAAGTTGCTAGGCTGTAAAAAGGAGGATGAGATTACAAGGGAATATTTAAATACAATAGTGAGTATACCTGATTGTTTCATATCTTAATTAAACCTACAAAGTTTAACTCTCTACATAGGCAAACAGTATTAATCGACATTACAATAGTAACAGAGCAAGAATAAAAGTTACTTCCACATAATTTTATGGAGGATTTGACAGAAAACTCGATCACTAGCTCCTTATCGCTCTGTAAACACGATGCCACTGTGTAACTAGGTCGAAATCCAATGGCCTACATAACCACTTGAAGTCAATCCTAGAGCGAGAAAGCACAGTCTTTATCTAATTTCATCGGTAGATCACCGCCTTACTCTTAATCCAGTTGATTCGCGCGCGTAGCATTGAAAGCACACAATAATAAGTTTTTCCCCTGAAACTATGGTGAAGCGACTATCCAGTGCTCAATTGTTTATCATGATTTTCCCAATAATGTTGCGTCATGATGGAGATCACCTTCGAACTAATTTTATTCTGTGTGTAATCAGTACTAAAAGGACAAGACAAACAGGATATTAGTCAACACTTAGTGACCAATCAATTGTTAGTAACTAAGTTCTACAGTGAGGTAGTTATGCCCAAATAGCTTAGTGGCAACGTTTCGAACGATCAAGTTGAGTGACACTTGTTTGGATACTGAAGGAGTCATCAGTTCTTTCGCGATTGGAGATCTATCATGTTGACGAGCACCATCTATCAGGAAACCTAGTTAGACGGTTTCCTGTCGACTACCTCCAACCACCTAACCTCCGGAAATAACATTTACGTATTAAAAGTACAATCGGTCACGTACTTAACAAGTCATATCTATTCTAAAATAATTTCTCAATACTACATTGATTAAATACAAAAATTTTGTAATAAAAATAAAGTTAATCCTTACCAACGATCTGATTGAGAAATATCACGAATGGAAATGTCCAACAGTTTTAACTTGGGATAGATTTCAACAAAATCTCTAGGATAAATTATTGGTTGGTCAAGGATTGCAGTGATCAAAGTAAACAAATGCAAGATATAAGCAAAGCATGTAGGCGATGTAAATGTGTCAATTCCATAGTTTATATGATGAATTGGATTATTATTATTATTATTATTATTATTATTATTATTATTATTATTATTATTATTATTATTATTATTATTATTATTAGACAATTCTACTCCATCCAATGGAACTGAAAAATGCTCATTTATATGAACGTAATCATTAGAAAACTTATCCATGGATTCATCATTCGTTGCTGTTACTAAATTCTGGAACAAAGTAAAACACAGATCAGAAACAAATTAATCGCTAATCGGATCATTTACTTTATCCATTTATCAAGTATCAACTAACAATGATTGACTAGTAAGGGCTGTGTAATCGGAAGACTATATTGTGCCAGAAACTAATAAGTAAAAGTAAAACAACACAAATCTTGATCTTTGATTTTATACAATTGATTTTAAATTTAACAATAGTTAAATAATAAATCAATTAGAAATTGGATATTTATGTTTTGTCATTTTTTTCCGACATTTATTGCCATTTGTAAACATCATTTAAAATTTACGTGGAAAGAGAATAGTTTGATATAACTTTTTGTATAGGAAAAAGGTACTAAAAATCCCTTTACCAGTGAGTATACCTAGTCGGTACACTAAAATGTGATGCTGAATAGTAAGTATGTGCTTTCAATTGATTGGTCACTGAGTATCAATCAATGCAACGTTTATTTAGTCGTTGTGGTGGTCACTACTCAATGACCAATCAGTCGTAACTATTTTAGTCCCGCCGGAGGTCAATCGCAGTCCAAATCACTCAGTAGTAACATCTCAGATTATGAAGCTGGATGACATATGATTGAATCATCAAGAGAGTACTAATCCCGTCAAGATCACAGGCACACTTTGCTGAAGAGTGCCGAAAAGCACGAAATCCAGGTCTAGAATATCCTATCGACTATATTCAACCACTTAACAAGTATTGTGGTGTGGGTTACTTATATCCACATAAGTAGTATATAACGGTGGTCAGCCATAGAATGTATTTCAGTAGAAGATCGATAAGGAAAGAACGGAAACGGGACGCAGTTGGTACCAAAATGCATGAACAATGAAATCTGAGACAGTGGACTGATATTTGCAGAAGGAACAGTCAAGTTTGAGACGATGGATTGACATTTTGCAAAGTAACTATTTACTATATGCTTCTCAGATTTTAGTGAGATGCTCTGTAATTTCGTGTCAACTAAATTCGATTGTCCCCACTCGTGTTTTTCTTCACTACAGTATATACTTCGTAAATACACGCATTAATATACATTTATATTCTTTTATTCCAAGACTTCGTGATTATTGGGTTTCGTTAGGACGGAATATAAATACAAGACCACTTTTTAGATTAGTGTGATTTTTGTTCAATATAAAATTTGTTTTATTTCAATGTAAGATTTTGTTTAACATATCACTCAATTTATAACAGTTTAGGAAGTATACATTAGTAATACGATTCTTCCAAGCAACAGTAATACTACTAGCCAGAAAATAGTTTTCTCATCTAATAAAATAAAATATTCACACGTTAAATACTAAACACAGAAATTAACATGATGATAAGTCATTTAAAACGTGAGTGAATGTAAAAAGCGAATCTCGTAGGTCAATTAATAAGTGTTAATAAACTAAAAGCTGACTATCAAGCTAAATTCGTGACCCCGGATATATCAAAGGTGTCTTTCAGTCACATTTTTATATATTAGAACAAATACATTTCGCCCAAGTTTTTAAACAATTATTTTGTCGAAATAATTTTCAAAGGTAGATTTTTCTCTACATTTCTTTTAACTCATATTGTATGATAGTAGGAGTTTCAATTGATGGAATGGTGTTATGAAAACTCTTAATTATCTGTTAAGTCATTTGTTACTTGTTGAAGTGGAGAATCTGATATATATGATTTCTTTAACTGCTCATCTAATGGTTTGTTTACACCAGTTTCAAGAGTAATTTCTATTTTATTCAGCTCGTTTGCCAAGGTTCGAGTCACATTTTATTTATAAGAGGTAGTTATATCACTCGGTCCCTCAAACAGGATTAGGTGGGGCGGGGTTCACACCTGAGATTTAGTGACTAGAAGTCGAACCCATTAACCTTTGCATCACTACACCACCTTCAGAAGTAAAAGATGGAATAAATAACCTAAGAATCAATAGTCTCAATTCCGATTTATATGTGTGTTTTTCATAACCTATCCAATTTATTTTTTAAGATGGTCATTCATGACTGCTGAGAAACTACATTAGAGGACAATAAACAAAATTACCAACTAAGAATAAACTATAAATGGTACCAGCGAGATGTGAGAAACCTCACCAATGAATCAGTATGGCTATTACCAGTTAACTGAAATAAACTTTACATTTGTTGAAATTAGACATACGAATACTAAACACATTTGATCGAAAGAGTTTGTTAGATGCTTTTCTTAGAAATGTGAGGGGATATCTTAGTGGAGAGTTTTTGTGTAAGGCTTAAAGCTTAAAACAAGAAAAGGTAGGCGATTTTGTTGATGAGGTTACGCAAACAGGTTCACTGAACGATAATTGGAACATGCTGCATATATCCATATTTATTATTGAACTGGACTTGTGTTGTATGTAAGTAGTGCCTAAAGTGTTCACATGGCATAATAAACTGAATCATAGACTCTAATAACTTATGTTCATTTCATATGACACAATGACAATAATAATAATTATTATAATGGCTTACTATAATGCCGTTTGAGTTAATTTCTTCACCAATGTTGTACATTGGATTTATTAAATCATTGATAAAAAGACCATAAACTTCACTCAATAAATGAAGAATACGAGTCAACAGTGCGTAACGTGTTTTGCTGAGGTCATTACTGTGAAAAAAGGAGAGACACGCGTCAAGGGAAAACAAATCGATAATAATATATAAATAAATATCTTAAAAATCCAGGGGGGTTAGTTGAAGAAGTGATATCAGTCCATGATGTTGTTGCCAGTTGAAATGAGAGCGCGTTAGTAGATGCAGACTACCTGATTGGGATCTTTGTAGTTGTTGGGTGACATAGTTCAGAATCGGTCACAATGCTGCAGATGTATTCATTATTTGTATCCTATTAGTTTTTGGCGGAGTTTTGTTCTCTGAGCTGGATGGTTTGGTCGTGCAGCTTCTTTCGTCATTCAGAACGACATCATCAGCACAAACTTCAGGCAGCAGTGAAGTGTTCGAATTTCCCCATATATGGCTCACAGCTTGTCCTGTAGACCTCGATCTTGATTGTTTATTCCATTAGATCTTATACTTTTTATTTCACGAATTCATATTTTCTCAAATAATATCATTTATGTCCACTCTTAGCTACTACCATTAATAATATGACTACTTATACTATTCTGCTTTCTGGCTATGCTGATATGATGCGGCAATTTAAACCGATGCACAAATACTCCAGGTTTTACTTTCCGTACAACTGGTTTAGCTGACCTTAAAAATCAGTAGTATTAACAGTAAATAAATTCCGATGACAATGACATTTAAGAAATCCTGTGAATAGAACAATAAAAAGCAACTTCAAACAGTGCTGTGTAGACTTAAAAGTGTCCCTGACTATATGGTTTGATATTTGGGAGAAGCTATTATCAGCATTGACAACTCTACTAATAGATAAAGCCAACCATTTTTTCTACTTTCCACCTTTACCTAAACCAAAAAAGTCCATTTCCGAATACAAGATATTTTTTGGATTCACTGAAAATGTGATTAGGAGTAGTAGCCATTGTTTATAAATATATTTACGACCTCCCCCAGGTCAACAAAGTAGAATATTAAAACCTCAGGAAATCAATAAACAGAGGGCATATCTAGTATTGGTTAGAATGAAAGGCACAGCACGGGAATTTATTTGGGGAGTAAGATAATTTATAACTTAAAAATAACAAATTATACAGATAATTTTAATGATATGACTACCCACGACTTTTGTTGGTTGGTTTATAAAAACGTTGCATTCTAAACAAAGAAATATACTCCCATCAAGAGATTCTCTATAATCTGTACAGGTAATTCAACAGATGATCAAATCGTTAGATTTCAGTATCTGTGTAGACATTTTATTAATTCCTTTATACAAATAAGTTAAATTTTGTTAATAGGCGACGTTGAATTTTTGTTGTGACATTTCAATATTCAATGTTTTTCTATTTATATATAAGTGAATTTGTTTATAGCATCACTTAAATTGATCATTCACCTCTCGCTGATTTTAACGACGATTAAACACAGTGATTTTATCATGTGAATGTAAGAGGGTTGTTTTCAGTATCTTCGTATATCCACTATACAAATGAAAAGATAGTCAAAGGGAAATCAAGGTCAGGAAACAATTTCATGAATGATATCCCTTAGTTCTCAACTCAGTTTCCATAAAGTAAAAATGTAAATTAGTATTTCAGTTTATTTATACATAAAAAGTGATAATAGATATGCTTGACAATAATGTAATGCCACCCTTTTTAAGCATATTAAACAACTTACGAGTTAATTTTGACTTCAACACTGGTTTATCATCTTTGATTAGTATCTGGTAAGTTTATTGTTAACCTTTATACACCTATTTTGCATTTTTGGCATTGAACTTACATATTTTACTTATGAAATTAATATATCTGACCGAGTATTATTGATCGAAATATTTACATTTAAAAATAAAGATGCCTACATTATACCCTAAATATTTCTTTGACCCAAGACTCAAACTTGGGTTCACAAAAGAAAGCAGTTTCTTTACCATTCCAGCCAACAAAGACAAATTGAAGAACAACGTGGATATCCATAAGATTTTCTGACACATACATGAATAATACACGTTAGTGACAACAGCTTTAGAGTGTCGAATCGCAACTAAAAAAGCCCTCATTTAGACTGAATTAAATCAAATTTTTGAGAAATAAAGCATTTTAAAAAACTAAACTTTCGTGAAAATTTTATTTCAAATAATCTCAGTGATTGAAATTTAAAATAATTCCAACGTTTCGTCCAGCTAACTTGTCTGGACCTCTTCAGGGTAATAAGTCAAATCATCAAAGAAATATATAGCTTTTAACAACCAAAATTATACTGTGTTAAACCAATCATATTTGGATAGTGGCTTTGTTAATACATTCTCTAATAATTTTTCTAGAGGCTGTGATCGCCGCTTTGCCTGACCGAATAGAATTGTCCGTAGATTTGACCATCAAAGATTTGAGAAAAACATTTTGTTTTAAACATCGTAGATTAAAAAGTTCGAAAAAATGATGAAATATGCATCAAACAACAAAGCTCAAGAAACTAAAAATAAATCAAAACACACAGGATATTAACAAATTGATTGTTAATTTATCGGGTAGAATCCTCAGCTTTCACGAAATATCGTTACTTAAAAAGGGTTTCAATTTCAATATAAGTAGACCAAGATTAACACCTTTCAATGTTATACCAACAATAGAAACAGCTCTGAATGTACTTCCGAGTGAAACACCGAATGAAATGAGGAATAAAATAATGACTACATTATTACATCAGAAATCTCACAATCCTAATATAACTAAAAATGAACTTTATGCATTGAAACAGCTGGGATAATTATCATTACTAGAGCAGATAAGGGGAACACAACAGTTAATATGAATAAAACAGACTATGAGAAAAAAAGCCAGGGAACATCTACAAGAGGGACAATATGAACAAACTAAAGAAACGAAAAGTAGGAAAACTCTTAATAAACTCAAGGCGGAAACCAGTAAACTCCTACAGTCATTAAAGTTTGAGCTAAGATCGTCATTATGGTTTATGTTATATCCAAAGGGTTGTAACCCTTGCAGATTTTATGGACTCCCAAAGATTCACAAGAATAATACTCCACTAAGATCAGTGGTTGATTTTACAAATTCACTGACTTACAATCTAGCCAAATACTTAGCTAAGATACTCAAACCGTATGAAAAACTGATTAATCATGGAATTAAAAACTCTATGAAATTCAAGTTTAATAATAAAACGGTATGGCTTCCGTCATACTTCGTAGGTTGTTCAGAACCCGAGAAGGATTGACTCGCGAGGAGCAGGCTGGGTTTCGTTCTGGTCGAGGATGTATTGACCATATCTTCACCCTCCGCCAAGTGTTAGAACACCGCCATACATATCGAAGGCCAACAATCGTAGTGTTTCTTGATATCAAGGCTGCTTTCGATTCGTTGGACAGAACTGTTCTCTGGGATTGTCTATTGAAGAGGGGTGTGCCTGAGAAGTTTATTAACATCCTAAAAGCCTTATATACAAACACCTCAGGTAGAGTGAGGGCATACAACCACCTTTCTCCACTATTCCATTCAAGCAGTGGAGTTAGGCAGGGTTGCCCAATCTCACCATTCCTCTTCAACTTTGCCATCGATGACATTCTGGAAACAGCTCTGACGGATGTAAGTAATGGTGGTGTGGATCTGTTGCCTGGAGAAAGACTTCTCGACCTTGAGTATGCCGATGATATTGTCTTACTGTGCGAGAATGCCCAAGCCATGCAATCCGCACTTAATCAGTTGGCAATCAGTGTCCGTAGGTATGGTATGTGCTTTGCACCTTCGAAGTGCAAAGTACTTCTACAAGACTGGCAGGATTCTAATCCTGTACTCACTCTGGATGGTGAGCAGATAGAAGTAGTCGAGAAGTTCGTGTATCTAGGTAGCTGCATAAGTGCTGGTGGTGGCGTGAGTGATGAGATCAATGCACGTATAGTGAAAGCCAGAGCGGCTTATGCCAATCTGGGCCATCTTTGGCGCCTTCGTGATGTTAGTCTGGCTGTAAAAGGTCGGATCTACAACGCGACGGTGAGAGCAGTTTTGCTCTATGCTTGTGAAACCTGGCCTCTCCGAGTTGAGGATGTTAGACGACTCTCTGTGTTCGATCATCGTTGTCTCTGAAGGATTGCTGGCATCCAGTGGCAACACCATGTCAGTAATGCAGAGGTTCGGCATCGAGTGTTCGGTCACAGAGACGATAATGAAATTGGTGTCACCATCTTGAAACACCGACTTCGGTGGCTTGGACATGTTCTACGAATGTCGTCCCAGAGAATTCCTCGTCGTGCATTATTTGCCGACTCTGGGACTGGTTGGAAAAAGCGGAGAGGTGGTCAGTATATGACATGGTGTCGTGGTATGAAAGAAAGCTGCAAAGGGCTAGCTTCTGTTGGTCCTTCACGACTCCCTGGTTGGGGTCCGAGAGATGGTGTAACGCAGTGGCTAGAGACGTTATCAGATATGGCTCAGAATAGAAGCCAGTGGCGATCCTGCTGTAACCTTCTTTTACTTTCTTCATAAAAAGGTGGTCGTATTCTTCCTTAACTGAAAGATCTGTTCTGATTGTACCTTTCCGTTTCCCCCACCATTGTTCTCTCTCTCTCTCTTCTTTTTTTTATAATTCCCCACGTTCATTACTTTTTTTTTCTTCTCTTTTCTCCTTCTCTTCTAATTATCACTGTTTTGTGTGGCGCATATATATTTGGTGCCCCCCTGTACCAATATTTATGTGTTCAAATAAATAAATAAATAAAATGAAATTCAAGAATTTTATTGATACCATCGACATAGAAGAGGATGAAATAATGGCAAGTTTTGATGTATCTTCCTTATTCACTAATGTACCTATCAATAGAGTTATGGATATTATCAATGATTGTTTAGAATCTGATTCAGATTTGAATTTACGTTGCCCATTAGATCCATCTGAGGTTACTGAATGCTTGGAATTATGTTTAAGATCTACCTTATTCATATTTCGAGGTGACCTTTACAGACAGAAAGAAGGTATAGCAATGGGTTCACTAGTTTCTCCGATTGTAGCGAATTTATTCATGCATTCCCTAGAAACTAGTGCGATCGCAAGAAGTGTATGTCCACCAAAGATATGGTTACGGTATGTAGACGACATTTGTATTATCAGTAAACGGGATGGTTTAGAAGAATTATTTAACAATGTTAACAACATTTCGGAAAGAGTTAAGTTAACGAAGGAATTAGAACCACAAACTAGCATTTCTCGATTGTTTGATTGAACAAAGACACAATGATAATAAGTTGAAAATAAATGTTTTCAGGAAATTAACACATTTTGAGAGATACTTAGATTATGATTCGGCTCAAGCGCAGTGCACGAAAGTTAATGTTGTAAAAAATTTAATGAACAGAAGTACTAAGCTCGTTACAGATAAGGAAGACAAACGAACTGAATTGAATAAAGTATTTTCTACACTTAGGGACAGCAACTACCCAAAAGAGTTTTTAAAGAAAATTGTTAAAGATGAGAGAAAAATTAAACTAGTGTATACGAAAATTTTGGAAGTACACCGTGGTCATCCCATACCGTAGTGAAACATCGGAAGAAACCAAGCGGATTCTAAACAAGCATGATATGAGTGTATTTTAGGGCGACACCTTAAGATCGGCGTTAGTGAAAGCTAAGGATAGGTTACCAAAGGATAAAAAACAAAATATTGTGTATGAGATCAACGCGATGGCGTTTGAAGCGGATGGTACCGGGTTCGAGTCCCAGAGTGAACACCAAATCTGAGATGCAGGTACATTCAGCTGACGAGTCCCAAATAAGACGAAACGCGTGTCCTGGATTCCACTGCTAGCCATCCTTTTCCCCCGAATGCCCTAGTACGGCCGAGAGTGGGGAGAGTCCGCTCTCCCTCTCGAAATGCTCTCACATGGCCACGCGTATATAGCCTCTGCCAGGGAAGTCCTACTCACTGCCTTCTCGTGGTGGGGGTGTTGTTTACGGGATTGAGAGGACGAGAAGCGAATTTCCGGCGCTTTAACCGGATCTCAAATCAATGGTGCACATGGGCTTCAGTATCCTGAAGGAACAATTGGCGTATGAACCAATCGTTGGTCACCGGCTACCATGGGACTGCATCTCCTTACGATGCTCCACTGCCTTGTGGATCAGATCTTCAGGTCGAAGGCTCGGGGTGTGGTCCCCTGAGAAAACCACCTGCCTCGGTTTGGGCACCCGGGCAGTATCACAGTCCTCACACATGCCAAATGAGAACTGTGTGGCGCATATGTATTTGGTGCCTCGTTGTACCAATATCTATGTGTTAAAACAAATAAATAAAATAATATGAGATCAACTGTCATGATAGTAATGTAGCTTACGTGGGAGAAACATCCAGACAATTGAATGTAAGGTTGAAGGAACACAAACAGTGTTTGAAAAATGTTCCTAAATCCTCGGTTGATTTGAAGAAACTTGATAATAAGTCTGCGATAGCGCTACATGCGTTAGAAACAGGATACGAGACTAATTTTGAAGGGATCAAAATACTTCAGAAATGTTTTAACACTCATAAAGAAAGATTGACAGAACAGTCTGTACCGAAAGGATGGTATTCAACTAGCGACTACCTGGTAAATAATTGTTGATAAATAATTTGGACGTTTATTTATTTTTCAACCTGTTTATTTCACATGCATCGTTATTTTGACTGAAATCAATGAGTTTTTAGCAATACAATTATTTATTTGATAGTTATTAAATTTGACATGCACATCGATGATTCAAAAACAATTTTCCAACCTTGAACCCGAACTTCTATTTATTTTTCCCTTCATACATAACATTTTAACACGGAACATCAATAATTAATAACTTAATCTTACACATACATACTTACACACTCACACACATACAATTTGTTTTTCAGTTAATTATTTCCATTTAGTTGAAGTTTTTCACATGATTCGCATTTAACTGACTCATGTCATCAACGTCCAAATATGATTGGTTTAACACAGTATAATTTTGGTTGTTAAAAGCTATATATTTTTTTTGATGATTTGACTTATTACCCTGAAGAGGTCCAGACAAGTTAGCTGGACGAAACGTTGGAATTATTTTAAATTTCAATCGCTGAGAATAATTGAAATATAATTTTCACATATAATGACTTCTCTATACTCGGCGCCCAATTTCTGTCGAACTGTTCGTTGTAATGTTGACGAATATCCGTATAAACTAACTTTTCGGACTGAGAATTGAAGAATTTTTCATTCACCAACAAACTTTTTCATTGAAATATCTAAAATTCATTATCTTATTGACTAAACGTACACAACTGACATTCAAATTGTTGCAATTCTTTCATTTTTATTGACGCAAGGCACACGGTTTTAGGAGTTTTATTTCAACGAATCAATCTTTTAAGATGAAGAACAATTATATATATATATATATATATATATATATATATATATATATATATATATATATATATATGATTGGTTTATCTGGTCTCCCGCATTTCACGGATATACTATGTACCTGTGTTACTTGTTGCTGTGGTTGTTAGAAAGGAATCGTCCTTGTGACTTCCAAAGAATCTCGGTTTTCACCATGAGGCATCATAATTTTTCTAAATGAAGACCCCTCAACTCCAAGTATAGAGTTTAAATTGTTTTCTTTGGTTAGCATAATTGTTTTCAGTTGGATGGGGTTGCAGATCTAATACAAAACTATTTTCCTTCACCCGGCCTGGAAACTGGCAGTAAACCTAGAAGAGCTACAGATGGAGTGCACAGACCAGATAGCAACACTACGGATCATTGTTAGGCAATCAACTGAATGGAACTCGTCATTATACATCAACATTCTCGACTATTAGAAAGCGTTTGATAGTGGATAGAACATTATGGAAACTTCTTGGACACTATGGAGTACCTGAGAAAATTGTCAACATCATCCGGAATTCATACGACGGACTACAATGCAAAGTTGTGCATGTAGAACAGCTGACATTTGCATTGCAAGTGGAGACCAGTATCAGACAAGGCTGCTTGCCTTCTCTCTTTCTCCTGGTGGTCGATTGGATTATGAAAACCTCCATATCTCAGGGGAAGCACGGAATACAATGAACAATTTGGATGAAGCTAGACGATTCCGACTGCGCAGATGACCTAGCTCTTCTATTCCATACACACCACCAAATGCAGATGAAGAAAACTACTTTAGCAGCAGTAGGCCTTAACATACACATGGAAAAAAGCAAGACCCTCAAATACAACACGGAGAATATTAAGAGATCTTACATTATGGGAATGGAAGCCTCCACCTACCCGAGAAGCATCATGAACAAGGAGGATCTGATGCAGACGTATAGGTAAAAATCGGATAAACAAGGGCCGCATCCTTACTGTTGAAGAACATGTGGAACCCAAAACAACTGTCAACCAATATCAAAGTCAGAATCTTCAATACGAACGTCAACACAGTTCTACTGTGCGGAGTTGAAACTTGGAGAACTTCCACAACCATCATCAAAAAGGCACAAGTATTTCTAAACAATTGTCTAGATAAGATAATGAATGTCCTTGGCCGGATACTATCAGCAAAAGTCTACTGTGGGAGGGAAAGTTGGAAGTGGATAGGATACAAATTTCAAGAAGTTGATTCTTAATAAGAATAAGCCATTGTCTGAGAGTAGTTTTGGCAGAGCTGAGACACTGTAAGATCAGCACAAGAGTCTTTCATTTTGATCTACACTACATACTTGGGTATTACAATACACTGCTACAATAACATCTGACAATTTGGCTTTTGAAAGGAGAACAGAGGTTTTTCTGTAAAACCCATCCTTTACTTCATAGAAACTGTAGTCAGGAGTTTAGGCAGAGACTCCCTCATTTGAGTGAACTGTAACTGAAAGCTGCTATTTAGAATTAGGCAGTAAAGGTTCTAGATCCAGAGTTTCATATGAAATTTTCTGTGAGGCTTACTATTAAGATTTACAATATTTCTAAATTTCTCGGTAAAATAATTTATACAAAAAAAAGATGATAGAATGATTAAATAAAATACAACGACGTAAATAATTGGACACGCTAATAATAATGATAATACTTACTAGCCACGCATTAGAGATTGTTTCAAAACTTTCAACCGGCTATTAATTGCTGCTTTACTTCCATTTATATTAAAGAATTCCTGTTCTGTAAACAAATATTAACAAGTTAAATATAACTCAGAAGATAATATTATCTTCATTTCTCGATCAAATAAGATCTTTAAAGTAAGTGGAGTTACTCTGTTAAGATACTGACTTGATAAGCAATTATGTATCATCGATAGTAGATAAAGATATAAACTAACTGGGCATTAACCTAAATTATCACAATTCATGGCCATACGTTAATGTGAATTTGACAAAACAGAATGACGAAATTTAAAATCGAAAACAAGCAAATCTATCCATGAATAGCTGTGAAGAAAATATCTTCTTAAACGTACTCAAATCAAGAATTTAGCTAGGATAAGTTGATGATATATTCATGGTATTAAAACGTGAGATATATTACTCATTTTCGGAGAAACTAAACAATGAGTCAGCCAGTATTAAATTTACTTTAGAATCAGACTGAGGTATATTAATTTTTCCAGACTACCTACTTAGTTGGGAAGAAAATGAATATTTTCAGGAAGACAACACATTAGATTAAATACAAAGATTTAATTTCCTACACTCCATCAGCAGTGCGATGGTATTAGTTGTCGTCCGAATTTCGAGGAGAGCTCGCACATCGATAACAAACGAAGAAGAAAGGGGAACATAACTATTATTTTTGAAATTAGAAATAACTAACCGAGAAATTTTGTCCACTAAATAGAGAATAATATTTAACGTGACCGAAAAAGCACTCTAAAATCATGGACTACAATAATCGTCATTCTATATGGATTACATATATCAGCTGAGATTAAAAGAGTATTCAACAAATACAGTATCAGAGTATTATTTGCAATCTCTGAAACACTGAAACACTCAAAATCTATTTGTGTCTACAAGATAAAATTTCCACATTGTTACGGAATACAAATCGGATAAAATTTTCTGTAAATCAAAGTGAGGAGAAATGAGTATCGCACAGATTCTGTTCAACCACCAAGAAATTCGGTAAAGCTTGTAAAATTTGGAAGATCTTGAGACATAGGTCTAGACATTATAATATTAAGCCACAAAATTGACTTTGATATTATTGAAACCATTTAGAAAGACTTTTAAGATCACAAAGAATATCTCATAAAAAAATGAGGGGTGGAGACAAGATTTTGCTTGGTTCCAATAGCACCACCCTTCCTCGAACTAGCACAATCAACAGAAAAGTGACAATAAAAGTTATTCATCATAAAAACATGTTATTTTTACGATTCAAACTATCAAACGTAACAATCTACACCTGTCTGTTATTGTTACCAATTCATTTACTCGACATTACGGAATTAATTTATCCAGAATAACTTGGATTAAGTTATCAAACATAAGGTGGTATTCTTGTAAGTTCTGGTTCACCGTTACTTTGATAATATTATCAGCGTTAAAAAGTGAAATGCCAATGAAAACGTATTTTAGTCTTTGGAAAAAGTTTCTTATAATGATTGAGAGAAAGTACGCAAATACTAATATAAAAAAATAAAGTGATTTGTAAAGTAGTCCATAAAAGATAATATACATTGCGTAAAAGGTGCATTTTTGATTGTACAGCAAATTTTGTTGCATAAGATCTGTGAATAGACAATGAATACAACAACATTTATGGTAGTCAGAGACTAAATATTTATCATTTTAAACATTTTAATAAACTGATCATATATTAAGCATATGATGGTTAAACGTTTCATTGATTTCCACCTTCTCTCAACTCGTTTAATTAGAATAACACGTTAACAGTGATGAAGAAAATGGACTTCTTAGTGAAGCTGTCATACCTGCTTAAAATTGTGATGAAATGAAAAATAGACAACCACACTAAATGTATAAGCGGCAATAGTTGTACAAATGCTTTATTATAAGGCTATCACAACAACGTAGAACCTATCACATTCCTGCAACGATCCAAGTCACTACATATTATCACAGTAAATTGAGATTATCAAGATGCAAACAAAGTAAGAGTAGAAGCATCAGAGATAAAAAAAGATTAGGGATAGAGAGTATGACGTCAAAATAAAAATTTAGTTCAGGTAAAAATATGTGAAGTTATTTTGGGATTCAGGAGCTAAAAGAAGATAATGAGTGAATGCATCTAAGCTAGGTCACCCAAACAATAGTTACGATAAAGACGAGAGCCTCAACCTTAAATTCTACATCTATGAGCACAGCTCATATAGTTAATAACTTCATCGACTAATATCATATTTTAGCCACCCATAGTGTTTTTACAACCTGTTATTAAACCTTGGAATGTCGTACATCAATGTAAATGGTAATTGGATATACGTAACATAGGTCCTAACCATTTCGGTCGATGAAGGCTCACTACCCCACTAGCCGATTCACCATTTTTAAATAGCAAACTACGCCGACTTTTAGAATCGCTCACTTTATGGTCAAAACATGCACGAACAACGCTCTGAATGCATTTAACTAAATACTAGTAGCCTACGAATATCCACTATTTTAGAGGCAACGTATTATACTTGTCCAATGATTGACGGATAAGCCGACCTGACAAAGATTCTAGTGCCAACATTCTTCTTACTCTGTAGAACTTTTGAATTTCATCCGTTGAAATTCTACTGCTCTTGGAGATCGTATTATCTATTATCCAGTTTAAGAACATGAAGAAGTCATTAGATCGTATTCTAGAAATACGCAAAAAACACTTTGATTTTTAAAAAGTTAAAACTCATCAGAAATTTGCATACAATTAAACAAGATTGTGGCGGTAAATTTACTTTGGAAAACAATCTTTTTTTATCGAAAAATGTAGATATCCATGCCATGGACGTATACTGAGTCCATATAAACTAAATACAAAACACAAGTGCAATTATTTACCTGACAGATAGTGACCTGTTCAAACTTCTGCCACTGATTTCCAAAGATTTTTATGAACCTTCCTTCCTTATATTTGTTTTGACTGGCTAATTGTGTATGTTCATGATTTTTATAAAAACCTTACAACTTACTGAGAAGCTAACTACTCCAATAATCAAACTAAACAACCGCGTTGGCAGGTATATTTTCCTACACGTCGTTCCAATATGTAAATGGTATCATACTTTCTGGAAGTCCTGAACATCAATTTATTATAACTTTCAATTTTTACGTTAGCTACAAAAGTAGGATCAGTAATGATATCAACCTATCTGAATAGGCACACTATCAGTAGCCCAAGAAAAAGAGGTTAGGATTTAATATATATTGGAATAGAGGTCTAAAACCGTTTCCATTCTCTTAGGTCTTTACTGATGCTGCACCCTTATTATCCTTTATTACCTTTACTCTTGACATTTTTTGTTCTTGCTCGAGTTAAAGTCACTTGAAGCGATGAAAACATGCGACAGATCTCACATTACTATGCCTAGAAACTACCATTTGATGACAACATACATGTACGTGTAAAAAAAATTTTTTAAATAGTTGGGCTGGTTTTGAACTAATTATTCTAAAGTTTAAAATTATACTGATCCTTTCAAGGAAACAATATCGTTGAGTGGTAACAAAAACATGCATCCCTTTAAAAAAAAAAATCTGAAATATTAAAAACTGGGAAAAAATTAATAGTAAGAACTTGCCCAGAGAAAATTTTCTGCTTTCCAGTGTGTGTAGTTTATTGCGTGCTAATGATATTGAGTATTTGAGTGTTTCTATGCGTTGCTTGACAGATTCGATTGCAATAGCTAATCTTTCAGTAGCTACACCCTTAAAATTTTGAACAAAGCGGTAGAAACTGGCAGTGAAAATTATAGATTTCAACTGGTTAAGAAGATTGATGCTTTACCACAATTTTAACCATAAATCTCAATCTATACAGAATTAATTGGAGACAGCGTAATGCTGTGAAGGATGGAAATAAAAATCAGTAACAGTTAAATTACGATAGTTTATTAACACTTCTAATCCCGAGAAAGAAATGGGATATGGCATGTATTTGCCTTATTCTAATATTATTTTTTACTTAACATTACTCAAGTTTTCGAAGATGATTTTCATGACAAACAGGTGATTTTGGTGACCACTAGGAGTTAGGCAGTGATAAGCGACTCCATTCTAACCACGAGACTCTTTGGCTATCCCCAGCACCATTCTCTGAGAAATTAAAACCAGAAACATATTTCGTGGAACCTTCTATTAATGCACCTAAGTCACTAAGTTGAACTCCGATAGTCATGAATAACCACTAATTTCAATCATTGATAATATAATTTTACTCATTTTGTTTTGCTTAAAAAAGTACGGTAACTTACAAGAGTCGAAAACTAATTTCCAACAGTAAACGTATATTTGTTTAGCTAATTTGGCACAGGTGGATATTTAGTTAATTTGTACATATGTTGCTTGGATCTGATATTAGTTACACAACCAAGTGTATTGGAAAATAGGCTCTACTTTAAGAAAACTATCCATCTGAAATTTAATGCATTAATAACAAGTGTACACTCAATAATTGGTTTCCGAAATATATAAATTATTAATAGGGAGTGAATTCTCGTCACTTTCAACTTATTTTGTAGAAAACATTCTTCACTGAGCTACGGTGGTTGGAACGAAATTATCTATAAGGATGCTGAAAATAAAAAGGTCATTTGATAGAAAGGCGAGTGTGCAGAACATGACTTGAATCTAAACGCGTGAAATTGATGCAAAGGTAATACAATGATAACAGCATTCCAATTCTAATTAGAAACAAGCCGAATTTCAGGCATACAACACAAAATTGCTAGATGGAGCCAAACGACTTCCAAAAATGTGACTCGTCAATGAATTATATCGATCTAAAAGCAAAAACACTTACTTGACTGAATAAATTATATAGTGAAGATTGAAAACCACTAGCAAGATTTTGCATGTAGCTGATACGTTTTAACTGAACCCTAGAAGCCTCCTTGTTGGCTAAAAACCTGAGCTCATTATTAACGTCAACGACCAACAAATTACTTTTGGAGCGTGGTAAAGTTGTAAGATAACTTGGAGGAAGGAAGGGATTTACCTTTAGGCCACTAGAAATAAATTATTTAATAAGGATGCTACCAGATGAGGACAGATTAGGCCTGGGTCGAGGTGTTCGCGGAAAGCATAAATACGCCTGCCCATTTGGAAGTAAACCTGATCTCTTGAGTTAGAGGCACACATATTCTCACGCACCTGAACAAAAATTAGATAACTTATTACGTACTTCTGAGTTTGTAAGTACGAGGCCGGAAAAATGTACTACAATCTCAAACAGAATTGAATTACTGTCTCTGTGTGATAGAAAAAAAGTAAATAAGACGGCTGGTACTGATGATCAGAAATCAATATCAAACCTTTGGATGATAAGTATTGCTTAGGAAGATTATATATTTCAACTGGATCCCATTCTGGATTCTGAAAAAAATATTTCTAAGAAGTGATACGCTACTTTGAGGTCACAGGCAATATCACTAACGTAATAGTCTGTAAATAAAATCCTTTTTTAAAAATGTCTTACATCCAATGTTATCTTGATTAACAGAACTTAGCGCAAAAGTCACTCCTACAGTTTCACTGGACTCTTCGTCGGAAACACTAAAATTTCGTCCATATATGGCTCGAAGATGTCTCAGTCGCAACTAAAATACGTCGTTATAATACAAAGAAAAACCATACAATGACAGAAGACATTGTGATTGCCCTCAATATATCACAGCTTTAGACCTTGAGAAGTAGCGTCCAAGTTCGGATTTCTTCAGTCGACAGTCTTCAGTCTTCAGTAATAAGGATAGTAGGTTAGTGAACCTGTGTTAATCCTAACAGGTTGCCTTCCAGTGAAAGTCCAGTTTCTCTTTGAAAATATTCACTGATGGGGCTGATACCACTTGATCGGGCAAAGCGTTCCAATCATTGACTACTCGATGAGAAAAACGGAACCCCACCTTGAGTTTATTAGATCGTGGTTTATAAACCTTCTTGCTATGACCTCGAAGATTATTAGTGCTGGAGGGAGCAAAAAGATGAGACATATTAACACCCAAATCATAATTAAAGATACGAAATGCCAGTATGAGGTCACCTCGAGTCCTACGATACGACAAGGGGAAAAGGTTTAGGCGTTTTAAACGCTCATCGTAAGGGAGTTTAGAAAGACCCTTCACTAATTTTGTTTCTACACGCTGGACACGCTCAAGTGAGGTAGTATCCTTTATCAGACATGGGCTAGCTGCTTGGATACAGTACTCTAAACGTGGTCTTACATAGGTGGGATATAAAATTCGAAACATTTCCCCGTCAAAAGATTTGAACGCTCGGTGAAGTGACCACAACGCACGAAAACCTTTGATAGCGGCTGCGTTGCAGTGCGCAGTTGTTTTTAAATCATGACTTATTATTACTCCTAAGTCTTTATGTTCTCGAACGCATGGAATAGGTTCACCATCAATAGTATAATGGGCAGAATACAAACGAACCAACAACAACGGCGAGTACAGGCAATACAAACATATAAGGAACATATGTACGAAGGCTATAAGAGAAGACAGGCTTCAGTACCAGTTAAAGCTTATGGATAAATTTATTTCCAATCAGAAAAGCTTATTCCATTACGCAGCCTCTCTTCGTCAAGCCAAAACTGGAGTTTCTCAGCTGCTAAGTCCTAACGGCCCGACAGATAATGACGGTGACGCCGCTAACCTTCTGGCTGAGCAATACTCCCGGACATTTCAGCCGACCCACATCAACTATACTTATCTCGGCTCTGTCTGCAACTGCACAGGACTTTCCGTAGTGAAACTGAGCGCTGACTTGGTGTTCCGTAAACTACAACACCTAAGAACAGACACTTCTCCTGGTCCAGATATGGTCCACTCTGCTATTCTGAGGGAAGCAGCTTCAATCCTGACAACACCGCTTAGCGTGATGTTCTTACACTCGCTAAGTCGGGGCAAACTACCGGATATTTGGAAGCTGGCTCATATCACACCAATCTTCAAAGGAGTTCGATGCAGTGAACCTTCAAGTTACCGACCGGTGGCCCTTCTCTCTATACCTTCAAAGATCATGGAGTCCCTGGTATACGATGATATACATGACTATCTGCTGTCCTTAAATTTCTTCTCACCCCAACAGCATGGTTTCAGGAAGGGTTATTCCTGTATGACGAACCTGCTGACCGCGGTGGACAGATGGACAAGCATCGTTGATCGCAAGGGGAAGGTGGACATCATTTACCTTGATTTCTCTAAAGCTTTTGATAGGGTTAACCACACATGTCTTATTAACAAGCTCAAACAATTGGGAATCAAACCACCTTTAATTGACTGGCTCAGTTCATATCTCACAAATCGACATTTCAAGGTCAGGGTAAACTTCAATTTCTCACACGCTATGGAATGTCCTAGTGTGGTCCCCCGGGGCTCAGTACTAGGACCTCTCCTCTTCCTGATTTATATAAATGATCTTCCTCAACAGGTAACGTCAGACATACTGCTCTTTGCCGATGACGTGAAACTTTGGAGAGAGATACGCAACCAAGAGGACATACAGGCACTTCAGGAGGATCTGACTGGACTTCAAAGTTGGGCAGATGATAACGGACTTACCTTTAACACTTCAAAGTGTAAAGTAGTCCATCTGCGACACGTCGCAGATTACAGTTACAACTTAGGAAACTCCTCTCTAGTAGTATCCCGAGTCGAAAAAGATTTAGGAGTTCTGGTGCCCTACGACTTAAAGTCTTACGCCAACTGTGACAAAAATGCCTTTAGAGCAAACCTTGCACTGGTAACATTGAAGCGCATTTTTGGTCAGTTTGACGGGAGAACTTTCCACATAATCTTCAATAGTTTCATTCGTCCCCATTTAGAGTACGGGAACATAGTATTCCCTCCTACACTCCAAAAGGATAAGGACACTCTGGAGCGTATCCAACGGCGAGCCACGAAATCAGTTCGGGGACTCAAATTTAAACCTTACTATGAGCGCCTCCAATCACTCGACCTTTACTCATTAGAGTATAGGCGTCTTAGAGGTGACCTTCTAATGGCTTACAGTATCCTTAACACACCTGGACACCCTCTTAAACACCTACTTAAGCTTAGTCCCAACACTAACCTAAGGGGTAACACCCAGAAACTGGAGATACAACATAGTAGAACGGACTGCAGACACAATTTCTACTCCTTAAGAGTTGTCAAATGCTGGAATTCGCTGCCAGCTGAGCTAGTCCAAGCAACTTCCCAGGAGTCCTTTAAGAGGCGACTTGATCTATTCTTAAGGACTAAGGATAGTATCCTACTATGATTTACCAATTCATTTTCTTTCTCCTTTATCGTTAGTATACCTTGGTTCTTGCCTGGAGGTATTGGTGATCCCCTGCTACTAGACACGGAAGCCTGTTAAGCGAAAGCTTCTTCTATTCCGTCCGCAACCATTTGAACCATTTGAACTATTGCCGTGACCGATGTGCATTAGCACACTCTTCGTAGAATTGATTTCTAAACCCCAATCTCGAGACCATCTAACTAAATCGTCTAAGTCAGCTTGAAGATCTTGATGATTAGCCTCACCTCTTATTGCTCTCCATATTTTGACATCATCCGCAAATAATAATGTCGACGACCTAAGCAACAGCGGTAATTCATTTACGTAGAGAAGGAATAGCAGAGGGCCTAATATGATGCCTTGGGGTACACCACTTTTGACCGGCTTCCAATCAGATAGCGTCCCATTGACCCTCACTCTCTGTCTGCGGTTACATAAGAAGTTTCCTATCCACTCCTGTACAGTACCTATTATTCCGAAGCTTGTGAGCTTCTGCATAAGACCTAAGTGTGAAACCGTGTTAAATGCTTTGCTAAAATCTATGGATATAACATCGACAGACAGACCTTTATCTAAGGCTGCTTTCCAATCCTCTCTCGCAATAAGTAAGTTAGTCAAGCATGAACGCTTATCACGAAATCCATGTTGCTCAGGAGCTAACAGATTGTGTGAATCTATGTGGCTTAGCAACCTAACCCGAATTATCTTTTCAAGTAACTTAACGACAATGCTAGTCAGACTGACAGGTCGGTAGTTAGCTACGATGTGTCTCTGACCATCCTTAAATATAGGACTGACAATAGCATCTTTCCAATCCCTAGGTAGTTGAGCGAGTGAAAGGGACATGTTAAAGAGTGTCGCGAGCGGTTTTGAAATAATGTCTGCAAGAGATGACAGCAGTCGTGGATTTAACCCGTCAGGACCCGGTATCTTACAAGGTTTGAGGTTAATTATTAACGGAAGGATAGTTTCTTCAGTCACCTGTACAGATTCAATCGCTGGTATCTCGGCGTGATTGGGACAAGTATTTGCTACAATAAACGTAGAGTAGACTTCGCTAAAGTAATTTGAAAATGTATCAGCTTTGGCTCGATCTGATTCAGCTAGTAAACCTGAATTATCGTGTAACAATAATGGGGGAATACTATCATTACGTTTTATTTGCCGTTTAACATACGAAAACAATCGTTTTGGACAAGTACGGCTATCATATACCAACTGTCGTTCCTAAGTAATACGGGATTTAGCTATTGTTTTCTTACAAATATTCCGGAGTTTTTGGTACTCACGCTTAAAAGATGCATGACCTGTCAACAAGAATAAGTCCCAGCTTACGGGTTTCCTTATTAATCCATGGAGGGCATTGCGATAGCTTACGTGCTGACCATGGGATAAACGGCGACGTTACGGACTCGAATGTAGCCTTAAACTTAATCCATTCATCTTCGATCGATCCATCTGCGTCAACCGACCAATCAGTAGAGATCGCACAGTCTCTGATTGCCGGAATATTAGCCCGCCAGATATTGGGACGGGGTGGAGCAGATAAAAATCGTATACCATGTGTCCTAAACTTAAAGTGAAGTACAACGTGATCACTGTTCACTAGTGGAGGAAGGTGCTGAATATCAAAGACGTCCTCACAGTGGTGGGTGAGGGCGAGGTCCAGCAGTGACGGATCACGTTTCAGATCAATATGTGTCGGTTCAGTGATACATTGGACAAGTGCACACTGAATAACTGTTGATAAAAGTTCGCTATCAAAACCTCCACCTGGAGCTGTAAGCTCTATCCAGTTTATGTTCGGAGCGTTGAAGTCCCCAATGATGAGGCAACATTCTGCCATACTCCAAGAACAGATGTGTCTTAAGATAAAGTCGTCAGCAAGACAAAACGGACTACGGTATATTCCGCCTATAGTCACTAACCCATTTTTAGATTTAATCTTACAACATGCTACCTCACATGTACCACTAACATGAGCCTCCGATATGATTGATTGTATACGAAAGTGGTCCCTAATGTATAACATTATGCCTCCCCCCTTGCGGCTTAAAACTCTATCACTTCTAATACAGATATAGCCTGCAATGATGGGAGAACATTCTGTCTCAGTCTTCAGTTTTCAGTAATAAAGATAGGATGTATATCGACCTGTATTAATCCTTGCAGTTTGTATTACTGTGGAGGTCCAATCTCGTCTTGAATATATCAACAGAAGGTGCTGATATTACATGTTTCGGTAGTGAATTCCAATAATTCGCTACTCGATGAGAGAAAGGAAACTCCAAACGTAAACGATTTGATCTCGGTTTTTGAATTTTTTTCGAGTGTCCACTCAAACGATCAGCCCTAGACGGAAGTAA